AAATGTTATTCACTAACTATTATCAACTGTGATGATATATTGTAGTGTAACAGACAAAATGGGTCATATGAGTGTGGATACTATGTAATGTATTGGATGACCCATATTGTTCGTTCTCACATCACAAGAAGCTGGGAAACGGTAATATTTAACTTTAACAAATTTTGATTTTTTAACAAATGTTGAATTCATATACACTAATTAAAATGAATTGTCTTTTGCAGAGATTCAAGACTACTACACCAGTTCCTGAGAAGTCCCTACTATTCATTAGGAACGCTGCTGCGAAGTATATAGTTAGATTATACAATAGCTCTTAGATTTAGATTTAAACAATGCATTTGATTAGCTTTTGATTTCTTAGACTCTCTACTTTATTTGATGTTGAAATACATTTGAACATGTGTTTGTTATGTTGAAATTGCATTTCTGTAAATGTTTTTATATGCAGGTCTGTTTTTGTGGTAGTGGATATCACAAAAACAGACCTGCAATTTTAAAAAACTGCAGGGGAATATGCCGCGGTTCTAACCACAACCGCGGCATATTCCCCCTATATGCCGCGGTTCTAACCACAACCGCGGCATATAGTGCTTCGTTTTTTTTTTAAAAACGAGACATATGGCCGCGGTTTTGACACTAACCGCGGCATATTTGTCGGCCTATATGCCGCGGTTCAACCGCGAACCGCGGCATATAGTGCATTTTTTAATTATTTTTTTTGAATTTTTTTTTAAAAAAAATGAATTTAGGCAGCGGTTCCCTAGACAACCGCGGCATATTGCGCAGACTATATACCGCGGTTATGACCGCGGCATAAAGTGTCTGACTTACTACCGCGGCTGAATATGCTGCGGTTCAAGAACCGCGACGTATAGTGAAAATCAACCGCGGTAAAAGCCCCTCGCTGCACTAGTGCTATTTATCCACATGTATTCAAAATTTGTTCTCAAGCAAGACATTTTAAATTTCACCATTATGATAATTACAAACTTAACCAGAGCACAATTATAAAGCTTATTCTTACAATTTAATAACAATATCTATGCTCTTATGTATTTTACTTTTTACAGAAGTTTTAGTCATTTAATTTCTTCAAAATCCAAGGTATATCTATAAGTTCATGATTCATGAGACAAGCACAATACATTATATCTTCCTATTTCTTCCTTAGATAGTATGGAGTCTAACCAAAGTGCAAAACTAAGAAGATCATTATATAATCTGAAGTTATGTAATATATAATCAGTGGAGTATGTGTACTAAAAACTTAATACTTATATTACAAGAGTCTGCCAGAGAAAATAACGACTGTTGTTTTTTCACTTTATCAAAACCTCAAGGTTCGGTTAGTGAAAGTCAAGACACGGATTTGCTCCAACATTCCATTTTCTTTGTTAAAACAGTTTTGATCAACTGAGACTTTTCCTGTAATCATGGGCTTTGAACTGGTTCGCATACTTTATAAATAAAGTGTTGTGTTTCTCCAAAATACTCTTTTTTTCTTTCTTATAAAATCTTGGGTTTACTATTTATTCTTTTTAGAGTTCTTTCCTAATTTTGATATTCTCATAAAATTCTTAAAAAGTTCTTATTATATTATATTACGAGAGTTTGTACAACATACTGTGGATAATTTTTAAAAAATAATAAATCTATACATCTCAGGAAATTTTATTCATAATTATTGTCCGCTAATTATAATAGTATGGATCATGTAGAATAAAAACACAATATGCATCAAAACATATTGTTTAATGATTTTGATAACAGAGTGATAACTCCAATTCATTGTTATTGAATAATCCAAATACACGAGTGTTTCCGTTGGATTTGGTGGGACCCTGCTAAAACACTCCTGATTGTATTGAAAAGTGGGTGGATGTTAAAGACCGGACGAACGAACACTGTTCAAAGCGCTTCAGGATGAAGACCGGAGGAGCTTTGTTCCAAGCGGGCGACCGTTAAGATCTGAACGAACGTTGAGGTGGACGGATGTAACTCGCTCTCCCTCCTTCTCCAAGCCGGATGGGGGCATACCTGTTAAAGGTGCTCCGACGATCAAGTCAGTAAAGTGACCGAATGGTTATAATAAGTGATGTAAGTAGTGCATAATGTGCAGTCTGCCCAGAAATCATACTGGAGACTCTTATTTATACTAGTTGTAATGGGCTTTTACCTTTTGTCGGCCTAATGACAACCCAATCACATCTTAATCTTCATTAGGGGCTTTAATGATTCGTTTATCATTTGCAGTCTGATCATGGGCGGTTGGCCAGAATGATTGGCCTGATGGTTGGCTCGGCCGGTCGGCTCGGAAGGAGACCGTGCGGTACCCAGGTACCGTACGGTACATCAGCTCCCCAAGCCCGAGCATGATGTTAATGATGCAAACGAGTTTTTGTGCATGGCCTTCCTGAAAGGACGGGTTCTTTGTTTCGCTTTCGTTTTTGAGTCCTTTTTGCTTGTTGAGTGGATGGAAAACAAAAACAAGCCAGAGGCCAAGGTTAGGCCAAGAAA